CTTTAGTACATTCATCCATATCCATAACTTTTTTTCCTTAATGCGTTTTTTTCATCACTCAGGTAAGTTATCCTTATTTGATTTTTTTGTCAAACTATCTATGTGTGGATGAATAAACGAATGGATGAATGAATGAACAAACGAATGAATAAATGAATGGATGGATGATTGAATGAATGAATGATCAAATGAATGAACGAACGAACAAATGAATAAATGAATAGATGGATGAACGAATGAATAAAGGTAAAAGAATATATCAATACAATATACATGTAAATTAAATCATTATTTATCTATTCGTTTGTTTGTCTGCTTATTTATGTTTTATCTATTTACGTCTGACTTGTTGAAGTTTTGAAATAAAATAAAGGAATAAATTCAATATTTACTTAATAAATTTTATTCAGTCCAACAGTTTTTATATAAAAAAAAACTAGATTCTTTTTTAATAAAATCGAAAATTATTATAATTGATTTTTATTAACGTTAATTAATTAATTTAATTTAATTAATTAATTATTACTGGGATGATTGAAAATATAAAATAAATAATGTATAGCTGTACTAACGATGTAATATAAGTGTGCGAAATATAACTTCCTAAAGAGTTATATATAATTACTACCAGCTATATAATTATAATTATGTATATATATATATATATATATATATATATATATGTGCGTGTGTGTGCGTGTGCGTGTGCTTGCGTGCGTGTGTGTGCGTGTGCTTGTGTGTGTGTGTGTGTGTGTGTGTGTGTGTGTGTGTGTGTGTGTGTGTGTGTGTGTGTGTGTGTGTGTGTGTGTGTGTGTGTGTGTGTGTGTGTCTGTGTGAGAGCCTTGTCAAGTACGGTAACAAATGTTAAATGTGTTAAATGTAGTAACTAGTTAATTAACCAACCGTAGCATTTAAAATTAAATTATTTAATTATTTCTTTGAATATACAAATAACATATTTCTAAATGATTGGCTACATTTATAAATGTGTGGCAATAAATATCGTAAGAAAAATTATGTAACTATTATCATTAAAGTTGTTGTTTATATTTTATTATTATAGTTATTATTATTATTGTTATTATTATTATTTATATTATTTTATTTTATTATATTATTTATAATATTATTATTTATTATGCATACGTTTATTCATTTGATCATAATTTTGTAGAATATATTTGCCATGAGAAAAAAACACGAGCCATTTAATGAATTGGTTGATCACCATCAAAGATTTACACTTCAGTAATATTTGTGTGTGCGCGCGTGTGTGTATATGTGTGTGCGTACGTGCGTGTGTGTATGTGTGTGAGTGCGTGCGTGTGTGTATGTGTGTGAGTGAGAGAGTGTGTGTGTGTGTGAGAGAGAGAGAGAGAGAGAGAGAGAGAGGGAGGGAGTGTTTGCGTCTGTACAATTAGTTCATATGCAAACGTGTGTGTTAAAACATTTACAACTTCCTATTACATTGCAAAGGCTGTTTTTCGGTTATTTAAGAAGAAATAATCGAAATGTACACTCTCATACACAAACACACACACTCACATATATACACACAAACACACACACACACATACACTCACATACACACACACAAACAAAGTGAGGATTAAGCAGACAAGTATCAACCCTATGTATCATAAAATATGTATCAGTATGACCTGGAATGAATTTTAGGTCGACAACATCAACAGTAACAATAAAAGAAGAAGCAATACATTCATCCATTGCTACAGGGTACATCGCGCACACTCAGACACAGAAGAATTTGAAAGAGAGAGAAAGAGAAAGAAAGAGAGAGAGAGAGAGAGAGAGAGTAGTAGTAGTAGAGAAAGACCCAAATGTATTTTTACACATGTGTGAAAACCAACTTATACTATGTTGAAACACAACAGCAAATGCTTTGCTTAAAAATAAACATTCATACACATATATGTATACACAATACACACACACACACACACACACACACACACACACACACACACACACACACACACACACACACACACACACACAAGTAAACACACGAAACACTCATCTATTCACTGCCTGTAAGGCTTTAAAAGTTAACAGTAAGTAAGTAATAAGCCGCATATTGTCTTCTAAACATACACATGCATAATGTATATGTATGAATGTGTTTCTTTTTGCACGTGTGTGTGCGTGTGTGTGTAAATGTATTTATAAATGTTGATTGTTTGTTCTTTTAAATATAATACTAAACAACGCATGAAAGTTAAAACACTTAAATACAATAACAGTAAAGGTTTCATAACATTACTGATATGTATGTGTGTGTGCATATATATGTTATATAGGTATGTGTGTGTGTGTGTGTGTGTGTGTTTATTTGTGTGTGTGTATCTGTATGCATGCACGCTTGTATGTATGGATGGATGTATGTATGTGTGTTCGTATGTTTGTATGTATGTTTGTATGTATGGTATGTATGTATGTTTGTTTCCATGTATGTACTAGAGTCCCAAGCGGATATCCGCATTGAGGTTTCAAACCGCGGTTACCAATCCGCAATCGTGGTTGCGGATAAAAAATTCTCCAAACTCTGCGGATTTTGCGGTTTGTCACGGATTTTGTTTGCCGCGGATGCGGATTCAAATGCGTTATTTAAAAAAAACCGCTTGCAAAATTAAATTTCCAATTTTTATAAATTTTCGGAATAAAAAAATTTTATTTTTACGCTTGTTTGCTTATATGTAGGTGTGTGAGAATGTATGTGTATTTAATGGCCATGGCTGAGTCTCTCTGGGGTCCACGTCGATAAAGCCAAGCGAGCAGCTTCTACTAGTTACTTCAGCAGATTTGAATAGATAAAGCTAGTTGACTTACTTATGAAATTGCGTGGGTTTTAACAAACAACTAATACAAAAGATTTACTTGACTAAAAAATATTTTTAAAACAAAATAGTTAAATCGAATTATTTAATTTAAAATTATCGTCGTCAATTTAAATAAAAATATAGCTTTTTGATTAGAAAATAGAGAGCTGGACATAGTGGACTTACCCGCTTACTTATGAAATTGACTCAATTTGTTTAAAACATTGTAATTAAATTGAAAAATGTAATTTGAAATTATTTTTTCAATTTAAATGAAAATATTGCTGTTTGTTTCGAAAACACGGTGGCTAACCTACCGCCTAACAAGGCCATATGTCAGCTTACTTAGGAAATTGCAATATTTTCATTATCATTGACAAAAATTATTTCAAATTACATAATTCAAGGTTTATTGATTAATTAGTTGATTGTGTGTGTGTGTGCGCGCGCGCGCGCGTGTGTGTGTGATGTTATTATATATATATATATCCTACAAGGTTTGTTCTCATGAAGTGCTATATAAATCCTCAAATCTTCGAATACAAAGCTAACATGCTTGCTTTTATTACGTACCGAGATATCAAGAAGTGTTACAATTTAATAGCCTTATGGTGTGATTGTTACATACGAAATAATAACAATAATAATAATATAAACAACAATAATATTATCATAATAATACTTACACAATAATAATAACATCAACAGCAATCAACTAATCACTTCAAACGCGTGCATTACGATCGCGACGAAGTCTGGCACGTTTCATCGGGATGTCCCAAAAATAGCGAGGATTCGTATTATCGATATATTCGATAAAACTCGATATGGCGGTATACAGCTGTTCACCTACATGTTCGATTTCGGATACATCGATTGAGAATGGAAAGATCGAAGTCTGCTGCGTGGTGGAGAAATTGAAGTCGGTCATTTCGAGGCAGAATGTGAACTTGCAATCTGTGTAATCCTGCACCCAATCTGTTGAACATCCGCTTACAAGATCTGCGTGCGTGTGTGCATTTGTTTGTGCGTGTGTGTGTGTTTGTGTGTGTTTGTGCGCGTGTGTGTTTATATGTGTGTGTGTGTGTCCGTGTGTTTGTGTTTGTGTGTGTATTTTTATATTATTATTATTTTTATTCAGCAACAAAACTCACAACCAACGAGATCATACACGTTGCCAACTTTGAATTTCACGCCGTGTTGTTTCAGAATTTGGCGGGCTCCAAACTCTGACACTCTTACCTGTTGTTGTTGTTGTTTGTTGTTGCTGATATAGTAGTAGTAGTAGTTGTTGTTGATATAGTAGTAGAGTAGTTGTTGTAATTGTTGTTATTATTAATATAGTAGTAGTTGTTGATGATGATGATGTAGTTTTTTGTGGTTGTGGTTGTTACTCACTAACCAACCGACTAGCCAGCCAGCCAGCCATCTAAGCAAGCAAGCAACCAACCATCCATCTAAACAACCAACCAACCAACCGACTAACCATATCTTCAAAAACCGGATAAAGGTTATTACTGTACGCATATGGAATAAACCACAGCTGGCCGAAGGTATGCACGGAGTAATAACCTTTGACCCTGTGACGTATAGAGTTCAGTAACCTTATGAGATGTGTGGTTTCAACTTCACTGGCTGGTCTCTTTCCAGGGTAGTCCTCCATACATTGGTTCATTGAATACACCCCGTGTTTGTCGCCTGCGCGTGTGGTTTAGAAAGTGTGTGTGTGTGTAGTGTGTGTGTGTGTGATTCAGTAAGTGTGTGTAAGAGAGATTTAGTAAGTGTGTGAGAGGAGAGAAAGAAAAAAATAGAGAGAGAGAGAGAGAGAGGGAGAGAGAGAGAGAGAGAGAGAGAGAGAAAGTCAGAGTCAGTAAGTGAAGTTAAGTGTGTTTTTATGGGAGTGTGTGAGTATCATTAATTTTGCGTTCATCTGTGTGTGTGTGTGCGTGAGTGAGGGTCATTAAGTAAAGTTCTGTGTGTGTGTATGTGCTATATGCGTGTATTCATTTGGGGGTTAATATTATTTTGCAACTTGTTATTATTCTTCTTCATTTCCAGCTATTATTTTCAATATTATTCAATGCAGCTTACACCATACAAACCAAATCTTCAACATATCATATCGCAGGATGATGTACCAATTGTAACATGACAGCTGTGTGGCGATGTGCTAACAAACATGTGCTTTCTATTAAATGAAAATCTCTTCGGTTAATTTAAACGATAATCAGATAGATAGATATCTAGGACATTTTTCTTTTTATGTTATTAGTTTGTTTGGTTTGTTTTGCTTATCTATTAATTTATTTATTAATATAATTATTTACTTATTCCTTTGTCTATCTATCCATTAATTCGTTCGTTCGTTCGTTCATTCGTTCGTTCGTTCGTTCATTCATTCATCCATTCATTCATCCATGCACTCTTTTACTGCATATTATTAATTTAATTTGGCACAGAAAATACATTCTATTATACTTTCCTATTATTTTTATTTCGCTTTCTTCTTCTACTTCTTTTTATTATTATTATTGTACTCTTCTTAATGTTATTATTTTCTTACTATTGTTATTTTTCTTCTTATTACCATCAAATACTTGGCTCAACAATTGCCATGTACAAACGGAAAAAACCCACAACTTCTCTTTCTCTCCTTTCTCTCTCTTTTTCTCTCCTTTCTCTCTCTCTTTCTCTCTCTCTCTTTCTGTATGTCCGCTTTGCAGTTTTAAACAAACAAACAAATAAACACGACACGTCATCTAACCTTTGGCCCGGTAGAAATTTCTGTTCATATCGACACCGACACAATTTTCAGCGGTCGTTTTACTCCGAGTTTTCCTCCATACTCGATGCAAAAAATCCGGCTGTGGTTGGTTGGTTGGTTGGTTGGCTGATCGGTCCGTCAGTCGGTCCGTCGGTCGGTCCGTCGGTCGGTCCGTCGGTCGGTCCGTCGGTCGGTCCGTCGGTCGGTCCGTCGGTCGATCCGTTGATTGTCGGATAATTAATTGATTGGTGTGCAATTGTCAATGAGTCTACGATAAACATTACTAATAAAAATGCTGTCAGAATATTTATTAAAGCCATCATAACCTTAATCATCATCATCTTTATCATGGTCGTCGTGTGTAACTGCCTACCGATATCATCAGCGTATAAGCATTATCGCTTAAACATCATCAGAAAAACACAGTAGTATAAATATTTTCATTAGCATCTACACGAGAAAATTAGTGTTTGTTTACCATGATCGTCATCATGGTCGTCATCATGATCGTCATCATCATTATTGTTAGAAACTTTCAACAAAAACCATGTATTCCTGCTTCATATTAATTTATTGCAATCATTTTTCATCGTCATCATCGTTATCCTTATCAACATCGTCAACATCATCATGATCACTCACGCAGTCCCACTTACTCCGAACGTGTAATCGTATCCGTCCGGGTTGCAAACCGGGATGACGTAGAAATCGAATCTCCTCAAGAGATGTACCAGCCTTTCTTCATTCTTTCGGTAACCGATTAAAAGCTGAGCGCCAGAAAAATATTTAATTGCAAATGTCAAAAAATTAAATTATAATTACGTTGATAAAAAAAAAGAGAAAAAGAGAGGAGAAGAGAGAGAGAAAGTGGAGTAAGATAGAGAAATTGAGAAGATGAGAATGAAAAGAGAATAAAACACAGATAAAGAGGAGAAAGAGAAAGTGAGGGAGGACAAAAATAAAAAAAATTGAAAAAGAGAGGGATCAAACACATGAAAAAGAAAAAAGAAAGAAAGATACAACGGAGAAGAAAACTGTGAGAAAAACCGACAAAAATACCGACTTTTTTGATGATGTGCAGTGCCGATGTGACCGAGCCCCACTCTCTGGCATGCACACCGGATTCGATGAATATTATCGGTTTATTCCAATTACCGAGACCAATCTTCATTTTTTCAGGGACGTCCCGAATAAATTATAATTTAGTAAAATTTATTATTTAAAATTATAATTTATTGCAATCATTACCATTGTAATAATAATGTTGATCAAAAGTTAATTATTTACATAAACGAATAGAAAGGACTCTCTGTTATTACCACATACCTGTCGCACTCTCCATACCAAATGCTCTTACAGAGTTTTAAATTTGATAAACGCCTTTAGATCATTTATGAACTCAGTTACTTCTGACGCGATTTTTTGTGGCAATCAAATGCTTATCGATAATTATACAGCAGTTAAAAAAATTATTAGGAATGATAAAAAAGATAGAAAGCTCTTTGAAAAGAAGTACACAGAGTGACCACACAGAGTGACCACACAGTGACCACACAGAGTGACCACACAGAGTGACCACAGAGTGGCCACACAGAGTGGCCACACAGAGTGGCCACACAGAGTGACCACACAGAGTGACCACACAGAGTGGCCACACAGAGTGACCACACAGCGTCACAGCCTTGCGTATTTTAAATTTCAAATTTTATAAAAAAAATGTAAGCACGGACCTTAGCGTAGGTCAGTGTCCGGTTTTCATACGACCTTCCGTAATGTTTGACGCTGACCACTTCTGGGAACAACCTTACCATTATATTCAACCAGGATTCTATCTGTGCGTGAATGAATGAATGAATGAACGAACGAACGAACGAACGAACGAATGAATGGAAAAATAAAAAATTGAGTAAAACAAACGATAAAGTCTAAAAATCAATAAATAGAAAGACAAACAAATTAATAGAAGTTGATTAACATTTGATGGCTTGCATAGTTAGTGCATTCTTTTTGCTGTTGTTGTTACTTCTGTCTTCACACACACACACACACACCACACACACACACACACCACACACACACACACACACACACATACACACCAACTAACTTGGCTATAGTTAAGAAAGTAGTGTTCCACGACGTTCAGCAGCAGATCAACAGTTTGGTTGCGGAAAGAACTGACGTTGGCCCCACCGTAGCCACTCAGGTCTTCAGTGAGACAACTATTCATGTAACACTTAACAAATCGGTTTTTGAAACGGCTAATCCATCTTCTACTCCTTTTTGTTTTCTCATTTTCATTCTCTCCATCTTTCGTTGGGGGTGTTGTTGGAAGGCTCAGAGGTTGCTTGAGGTAGTGCTCTTGTTCTATCTTCATCGCCCTTCAGTAAAAGCATGTATTTATTGATTTTATTTTTAATATTTGTCGTTATGTGTTTTTGAAATGTACCACACAGATCAATCATTTGTTTGTATGCTGTTTGTTTGTATGTTTTTTGTATGTTGTTTGTATGTTGTTTGTATGTTGTTTGTATGTTTTTTGCATGTTGTTTGTGTTGTTTGTATGTTGTTTGTATGTCATTTGTATGTTTGTTTGTTCGAATCTGTTAGAATGTGTATAATTTATATAGTGATAGGATAAGGTTACACGATATATTATAATTAACGTTTCAAATGTTAGTGGTAAAAGATTGCTTATCAGGAAGCAGATGTTTCAGCGCAACTACGAACTTTCCGCATCCAATGGTTGGTTGATTACAATTCTATTTTATGGATTATATTATTTGGAGGAGAGAAGTTTTGTTTCGATTTTGTAAAAACTTCAAATAAAGCGTTTAAACCTGGTCAATTTCAATGTATCCGCGTGCATATCTAACTCCAGCATTATAACAGAAATTAAACGAAATGTCATCTGAAAACAAAAGTTGAAAAAAATTTATACAACTAACACGTTCATATTTGCAGGCATGACCTTCAACTCGTAACGATGGCGTCTCAAGAGGTCAATGACATCATCGATGACGTCAGTGCTGACGAAAATAGTGTCGTGACTCCACTGGTCGACGTGACCTTTCTTCATTGGGGTCAGGAGGTCATGTAAGTGGGCCAATCTTTTCCCGCTTCTGCTCTCCGTGGTTTTTATTACGCGGTACCTTTGATTGGTTGGTGATGAGTTGGGTGGGGGGTTGATGAGATGAAAGGAGTATTTTTCAATTTTACTTAATTTTAGGGTTTAATTAAGTAAAATTATTGCAATTATTCATCCATCATATTTTCTCCAGAGTCGTTAATATCGATGTATTGCTAGCCATCACCGAAACTGCGTCTGCGATACTCTTTTAGTGCTGACTTCCTTATAGACAAAACATTAGATGCAAGGTATCGAACTCGATGTTGCCGATACTTTCCAGGCAAAAAAATCGATACTCGATACCGAACAACATTCTTGAACGTCAGGTGTAATTATTTCTATTTATAATTATTTCTATTTGTAATTATTTCTATTTATAATTATTTTTATTTATAATTATTTCTATTTATAATTATTTCGATTTTCAAAGTTTAAGCACATTTCTTAGGTGGTAAATTTGGGATTTAAAATCAAGTTTTGCCGTCTCTTTGGCATGTTTGTTTTTATAAACTGTTTCGTCAAGTGCCTACCTATGTATAACTACATTCCAGTTCCAACTATTGCAAAGTAAGAAGGAACAACATTTAAGTAACTTTTTCAGAACTTTTTTATTATAAAAAGTTTAATAAAAAAAAATTCGCTAATCTAACCGGGCAGTAATTAAGTTGAAAATTATGAGACGAAAATTATGAGAAAATTATGAGATTTATGAAAAATCTAAAATAAAAACTAAAAACAATAATAATCTAAAAAGATATTGTTTGGCGAGTTAGCTCAGTCGGTAGAAGTGCCATGTCTCGTGCAGTTACGCGATAGCCAGGTTCGAATACTGTCGGTCCGAAACTCAAAAACTATTATACGCCATGTGTGTGTACGTCGTGTGGCGTTAGTTGTACGGCAGTCCCGAAGGATTAATTACAGGGATAATGGCATGTAAGCGGTTCTGCATGATAAAGAACCAAAAAATAATAGTCATTAAAAGAAATTAAATAAAAATAGCAATCTGAATAGTGTCTCGAACTTATTTTCATTTGAAGAATCCTTCCATGGATCAGCTTCTACGCTGGATACATCAGTTAAGATTATGACATTTAAAATAATACAACCTACTAAACATTTCAACATTTCTACTTGTTGTATTTATAAAATTTGTGAAAATTTGCTTATTACATCTATAACATTATGTGGTTGAATAATAATAATTAAACTATTTTAAATAAATTATACAAAAATATGTAGAAAAATACTTAAATATATACAGTATATTTATTCTAAAAGTAAAGAAGCCTTTGTAGAAACGTTATCTCTTAAATTAAATTGGATGAAACTTTATTCTCATCATCTTCATCATCCTCATCTTCCTCATCATCTTCATCCTCTTATCATCAGCATAACAAATAAATATCCACGATAAACAGCGTTCGCATATATACACGCATTCGTCTGTTGTGATAAATACAATGAGGATAAGCTACAAAAAGTATTCGTCTGTATGTATATATACGTAGATGTATATATATACATATATATATATATATATATAATATACATTTATATACATAAATGTATATTATAACATATAACATATAAATATACATAACGAATTGATTAGTTTTCTTCAAATGTTGCTATGATCACTATTTAGCTACAAGTTATAGTTTCTGACATATTTGCATTGTTACAGATACACATTGAAAAAACGTTGAATTTCTCCATAACACAAAAACACACAATAACTTAATTTGTTTATAAAGAAATGGTTTTAAAATAACACCGTTGTATCTAAATCACTATTATTAACAAATAAACACATTTTTTATTCATATTATGTTGTTCATAGTTGTTATACATCAAATAAATTTCTACTTTAACTCGTTGTTCAAAAGGTAGAGGCTCGCAAAATGAGGCTTTTGAGCCACCAGGAAATTTTGTCCGACATTCAGCAATTATTTGCAAAAGATATTGTTTTTGATCTTCCTCTTTTGTAATACATGAGTTGTAATTTGTTATTAATTTAACACCCCTTTCTGCTGTATCATTTGTAACTTTTAATCCGTCCACAATCTTTTTACTCTTTTAATATTCTTCGTTATTACTCCATAATTCTGGATTGGTATGCAAAAATTGATCATTAATATTAAATCTTTTTAAAAAATTACTTGATTGTGATGAAATAAAATGGTCCGCATTTTAGTCCAATATTTCTGATACTTCATTTATTTTTATTAGTGGTTTCATATCACAGTAGTCATCAAGTTCTTTATCCTCATTTGCTTGAGATATTAATTTTGTTGTCATTCTCTTTTATACACAATTACTTAATGAATCATCGAATAATGAAAAAACAGCCTGCTCTGGATTGAGGTACTATATGTGGTTGATAAATTTTAAAACTGATATATCTGAGATAAATTTATTGACTTTATTGTAATTTACCAAAGATTTTAACAATTGTAAATCTTGGTTTGGAGCAAGTGCAGGTTTCGGAGCATCCAACCACACTTTCACATAAATATTCATAATAAATAGACAAATATCATGGAATCCTTGCTTTTCAAAAATTGTCAGTTGAAACTGTTCTCTGAAAAGGTATATTTTCAACGAATATATTGCTTTTGCCATCCACCTTGCGTGATGAAAAGCACCAGGAGCCGCAAACACGATGTTTTCTGACAGAAAGCGTTCTAAAAATATAAGACAAAGATTAATCAATTCTTTGTAATCGCTCCTTGAATGATGAACTGTTAATTATTATAGAAGATAACTTGAAATTTGACCCGGATTAATCAATTTGCTGGCTACACTTTTATCTTTAACTCCTGATTTAAATTTTTTTATCAATGTTGTTCCATTCAGTTTAAAATTTTTTGAAAATATCCGATTGAGGGTCTGTAGTCTTTCCCATCACAGCATCAAAAACGGATCTCAACACTACCTCCAAAATGTGGTGGCGACATGGTAGATACAATAATTTTTTCTCCATCAATTGCTCTAATAAAACTCAAGCACCTTTAATGCGTCCAGTATTCACGGCAGTTGTGTAAAAGGACATTGCTTGAATCTTGTCTAGTGCACTCCACTTTCCAAGTTCTGAATAAACAGATTTTGCAATTATACTGCCAGCACCATTCTCTAATTGGGGAACTCCAATTAACTGTTCTTCTTCTCCACGGCTAATTAAGACTGCAACTCTTTCAACATTTTCTTTATTTAACATATCTGGAAGTAATTTCCCATCCCAATGTACAACTTCTCATTACCAAAAATGAGAAATCGTAGAAAAACCAAAAGATCTTAATATTAATACATAAAAACAACATATAGCACCCGGGTTAGTAATAGTAAATAAGTTATTGTGTGTTTTTGTGTTATGGAAAAATTCAACGTTTTTTCAATGTGTATCTGTAACAATGCAAATATGTCAGAAACTATAACTTGTAGCTAAATAGTGATCATAGTAACATTTGAAGAAAACTAATCAATAAACAAAATAAAACTTAAATCATGTTTCTAGAGTGAACCGTTTTTATTTTACAAACCGAAAACTGCGTTTTTTTCAAAATTTTCCAATTTTTCGAAATTTCAACCTCGATGAGGCACGGGTTAGCATTATCCAATTGAGCTAAAACTTTACAAATGTCATTTTTTAGTCAAGTGGCACAATTTAGGGGGTTCCCCCGATAAGATTTCGAAATTTTTTTTTTACATATAGCGTTG